GTTCGTTTGAGTTGGTGGCATTTGATCTTATAGGACCTTTTCCATGGTCGACTGTTAGTAATGAGTATGTTATTATTGCTTCTGACTACTTGACTCATTGGGTGGAAGTTGGTGCTCTTACTAGTGCCTCGGCAACTGCTGTTGGATACTTCCTCCTCAATCGAGTGGTGTTCTAGCATTCTTGTCTAGAGCGGATTCTTTCGGATAATGGTCCTGCATTTATGGCTGAGGCATTTCATGTTTTGACATCTCGGTTGGGGATATGCCACACTTTCACGAGTGCTTATCATCCACAATCAAATGGTCTGGTGGAACGACTCGTTCGGACATTCAAAGGGATGATTGCAAAGTATGTGAACTTTCAACATTCAGATTGGGATGGTTATTTGCCATCTCTTTAGTATGCCTATGTCATAGAGGTGCAGAATTCTGTTGGTGCTTCACCATATAAACTCCTAAATGGTCATAATCCAATATTACTAACAGAGTTGGGTGATTGCCACGAGCTCTCGATGCTAAGTCATGGGATCAATATTTGACGAGCATTCTTCCACTTGTCCGAACAAAGTCTACCAAACACTTAGGCCGCGTACAAGTGGGACAATAATGGCACTACAACTCCCATCATCGTCCACCTACGAAGTACAAAGTGGATGATTTGGTGTTAGTCCATTTTCCCCATCTTATAGTACGTGGTTTATTTAAAGGGCTCCTTGCATAATGGAAAGGACCGTATCGGGTGTTGCGGCAAGTTGGACCACAAGTTTATGAGGTTTGGCATGACGTCCACCAGGCCAATCCTCCGGAGATTGTGCATGTGCAGCGGTTGAAACGCTTTATTCAAAGGGATCAAGAGCAATTAATGCCATCTACAGATCCACCGATGCCTCCTCCTGACGTTCCTCCAGATCTCAGCCTGTCTACAAGAGAACCCTAACAGCCTTCCATTATTCCGAGAGGAGGGGATGATGTGAGGGCCAAGTGTACGGCTACGATGCCATATACTAATATTAACGTAATGGGATTTTGGTAGCCATTGAATTTGTTTCAATCCGGACCACTTGCTCCTGTATATAAGCTAGGGTTTTTGGGCTAATTGATATGCACATTTCTGTATTCCCTTTCCATATTCTATGCACTCACAGATGGTGTTTATGTGTTTTTCATTTTAATAATAAATAATAAATAGTTTTTCATGTTTTTTTTTACATAGTTTATGTGTTTTGAAAAAACATAAAAGTACCATTAAAAATATCTTTTAATTCTCTAAATAAATATAGAGCTTGAGCTTGTTACAAATTGGCTTTGCATAGAAGTATGCTCTTTGTATAAAATCTAGTTGGTGAATTAAAGCAAGTGTTCTAACCTGTTACATCTTTTTCCAATTTATAACACCTGCACCAAAGTTGCCCAAGAGCTGATAGATTTCTTGAGAGTAATACAAATCATCAGAAGAGCAAAAGTGAGGAGGGGTCTCATACTTCTTGTTGGGCACTGCAAGACTACCAAAACAGAATATAAGTAGATAGATAGATAGATACTCCCTCTCCCAATTCCACTTCTTTTCTTTGAGCTTTCATAAAAAGCTCTACTGGTTATGAAGATGGTAGAGTCCAACTGAAGATTGCAGCAACATGAAGAAGAGTTCATTGAGATTCATCTATCTCCTACTAGGCAAAAGTATTTAGTATTTAGTTAAATTATGTGACAGGGCACTTGAAGTGGATCACTGAGCGTATTGATTTCTGAGGTTGTTTGGCGTAAGTTTGGTGATTTTCTACTGACCTGTATGCACAGGGCAACTCAGCTGTAGTTCATGTTTATGAAGGTACACCACATCACTTCTATGACTTCTACGTTCTTCCAGGGAGCACTCTACACAGACGAGAGGTTCAAGCGAAAGCCATCTCGCGGCGGTGATTCAACCCCGCACTGTGTTCTTCGTTGAATGGCGAGATGAGACAGCTCCAGAGCAGAGGAATAGCCCTCTTTATGCGGCGTGCGATCGTGAATCTCGCTTTCGAATTCCTGCTTGAGAACGCGAGGAGGACGGAGGATCCTGGAAATCACAGCCCCTACCCCGATCGAGGCATTGTTTAGCCAGATCGTGCTCGAATTAGAAAGAAATTCGAATATTCGCAACGCGCCATGGATGATCTTGGCCAGTCTCCACACCGGCGTCAGATGGGATCTCTCGTGAGCACGACGGGCGTCGTCCATTTTCACATCTCTCAGCCTCTTTAAGTAAGCCGCCAACCAGCATTCTCATCATCGATGTTTCAATTGATCTTGTCCAAGGTCTGGAACTACAAGACGAGAAGGTGCATGTTCATAGGAGTATCCCTGGATCGTAAGTGCTAGCGACGATCAAGCCATCAGGATTTGGAACTAGCAGTCCCGGACGTGCTGACGGGACACAATCACTACGGCTTCGTTTCACGTCAAGGACGATCTCATGGTGTTTGCGTCGCTGAGACGGTCTCTCCAGCCGAGGATCTTCACAGAATTCTGAGACTCACGCAGATGAACAGCTAACGTTTTGGTGGTGACGATGCGGTGGTCAAGTATGTTCTCGAGGGGCATGACAGGGCTGCTTTCCATCCAAGCTTGCCGCTAGTTGTCTCTGGTGCTGACGATCGACAAGTAAAGCTGTGGAGGATAAATGTTAATATGTGGACTTGTTCTTTTGTTCTAGTTTCTAAACGCTTGCATTGGTTCCAGAAACAGGCTTGGGAGGTTGGTCACACCAACAACGTTTCCTGTGTCATGTTCCACACTGCCGGGACATCAAACTCGAGTCTGGGACTTGTCCAAGCGTTCTGCCGTACAAACTTTCAGGAGGGACCCGAGATGAACTTTCTTGCGACAGGACAGGGCAGTGGAATTATCGTCTTCAAGCTCGAAAGAGAGAGGCCGGCTTATACAATCAGTGCGGGGGTGCTGTATTACGTCAAAGAAAAGGCTTTGAGGACTTACGACTTTGCCACTTCAGAGGACACATCACTGATAAACATTCGAAGAGCGGAGCTGAATCAGAGAAGATTGTCTTGCAATCCAGCGGAGAACGCCGTGCTTTTATGCTCGGCCCGTCACAACAGTACGTACAAATCCCGAGAAGTAATGACACTTCGGCCGAAGAAAGCCAGCGGGTCGTGGGGTGTTTCGTGCCCCGCAACCGCTTTGCCAAGGCGCACGGCTTGATTCTAGTCAAGAATCTGAGGAACGACGTCTCCAAGAGAGTCGAGGCTCCATCGGCGACAGTTGACGCCATCTTCTATGCGGGGACCGGATCTTAGAGCCTTCGACAGTGCAATGCGCCTTCTCACTCGGCAACTCGGGATCAAAAACTTCGCGCCGGTTTTTTGCGACCTCCAGAGCTCGCTCGAGGCCCTCAAGCAGATTGATCGGATGGTCTTTAGAATCGCCCTCGAGATCACGCGAGCATCTTGACGTATGCCCTCGAGAAAGGCTGGTCGGACTCGCCGCCTCCAAACGTCCGCAACGGTCCAGCGCTCATCTACAAGCTCACCACCGAAGGTACCGCTCCACACCGTCCCGGTGGACAGCCGCACAGAGGTGATCGGCAAGAGCAAGACCTGGCATCCCAAAACAGAAAGATGCAATCTAAAACATTATATGAAAGCGTAGCTGCTCGTGCCAGATGTGCCGCGAGAAGTCATGATCGAGGTCTTCACCCGCCAAACAAATATCACAAATATCCTCGAGACACTGTGAATAATCACCAAAATCTTCGCAGATCGAAGCGCCGTGATCGGGAAATTTTTATTCTTTCTTTGTGCTTTCACTGTTATTTAATTTTAGCTATGGAATGAATATTGTTTCAAGAGAATCATGAGAGAAATGGGCTTCTAACGCCCAGAATCTGAAATGAAAAGCGATTCTTGAAACTCTGGTGCGCGAGTTGCTCCAATGCGCATTTCTTCGAAGTTTTCAAGGGGAAAATAGCGATTCCATTCCTGCGATTATCAGGTACAGACGAGGAAGCTAGGAAGCTAAGAATTTACAAGCGAGAGTGATTATCAGTAGCCTAGAAAAGAAGAGGAATCTCAAGTTCTATTCCAACATGAGGAAAGAATTCACAGGTAGAAGCGGTAGCGAAACCTCACATCACGCTGCCTTGGCCGTTTTGGTTGGCTGCCTTGGCTCCTACTTCTGCTCGCCAACAGCAGCAGCCAGAAACAACGGTGGCAGATAATACATTTTTTTCATCATCAAACCTCTTGTGCTTGTGCTCCCAGCCAGAGCTGGTCCGCTGATTTTCTTTGAATGAGAGCTACAAAATCTCTACCTCCACGTACCAGGGAGAAAAGGAAACCAGCGACAGCACTGAGAAAGCAAAACCAGGGAGAAAAAGAAAGTAGCGAGAGCACTGAGAAAGCAAAACCAGGGAGAGAAGAGAGGGGCTGGGGCTGGGGCTTTTAGATGACGAGTATTGTATATTCGCTCCAGCGTGTGTCGTCTTGTGTGAGATGGGAGACAACGAGAATTGGCGTGTGCTGCGTCACAAGGGAGGAATTAATCCGGGGTATAATGCAACAAAAAAAGAAGATGTTTCTGGAAGGATTCCAAAGAATTCTGAAAGACACTCGCGGTGGCTTCTGCATATGCCCATTCGCGCTATCTTGTTTGAATCTTTGGTGATGGTAGAATCCACGAACTTTGGGAATGGCGCACAATCCTCCCCCGCTTAATGACCAGCACACAGCATCCACCACCGCCAAGTCACAAACGCTGCAAATCTGCCCGGCCACCTCCGGCACGAACCGCACAGCGCAGCAGGGGCACGACACCGCCCGCGTAGATGGGCGTAAACGTTGCTCCCCACACCACAAACGGGTTCCTCTCCGTCGTTCTCGCACGCCTGGAGGACCTGCTTCGAATTGGCGATCCCGGCCTGGTTTGGATTCATGTCTCGCAATCGCCTCACCAGGAGACAACGAGAATTGGAGTGTGCAGGGGGGATTAAAGCAAAATGAAGTTGTAAATATTCCAAGGGACCTTCAAACAGACGGAGATCCTATCTTTTAGAATTCTAAGTATCCGCTGGGTTTACCCATGCATCTGAATTGGCAGCAGCTTCGATGGCGCTAGTGCCTTGTTCGTCGTTCATTCCTCGCGGGCTCCTTTCTCTCCCGCCATTGCGCAAATCCCTGAGAAGGCCGAAGTCGAAAGCGATTGTATTGGGTGCGTCAATGTCGGAGGATGGGCAATCTCGTACTTGCAAGAAGCAAGATGCAACAAAGAAGAAGAAAGCAGAGCGCACAACATATTTGTTCGCTGCTGTTGCCTCAAGCACATTGATTGGTGGTCTCAGCATTGGAGCTGCGTGTTACAGATTCGTGTGGCAAATGCAGGAGGTATGTGAACTCTGACACACACAGGCTTGATCACAAAAGAGAATCTTTAACTATGTTCAGAAAGGCAGCAGTGAATTGCCTGCTCTGGAAATCCTTGGTACCGTGTCTTTGGCATTAGGTGCAGCTGTGAGTATGTTCAAAGCTGCTGTTCAAGATTGATTTTATTCTGTTTCTCAGGTGGGCATGGAGTTTTGGGCTAGATGGGCACACAAAGCGCTATGGCACTCTTGCTTGTGGAGCATGCACAAGGTAACGCACAAACAAATTTTCGGACAGTTAAATTGCCACGAGTCTCTCTACAACAGTCTCATCATCTCCCTCGCCAAGGTCCATTTGAGGTCAACGATGTTTTTGCCATTGTGAACGCAGTCCCCGCGATAGCTCTCATGTCTTACGGATTCTCCCACGAAGGACTCCTTCCTGGCCTGTGCTTTGGAGCAGTAAGTAATAGAAGCATTTCTTGTAACTTTGAAAATATTGCATATCACGTCAGGGCCTGGGCATCACCATCTTCGGGATGGCCTACATGTTTGTTCACGACGGCCTGGTGCACCAACGGTTTTCAGTTGGCCCACTGGCCGATGTGCCATATTTTCGGAAGGTAGCTGCTGCTCACCAGGTTTGTCCATAAATCATTCAGCTCTAGATTTACCATCAAACCTTCCACTCAGATTCACCATGCCAATCTGTTTGATGGCGTTCCGTACGGTTTGTTCCTGGGGCTAAAGGTGAGCGAGAGACTGGAAACCAAACTTTTGACGGATTCATGGCCCTGATAGGAGCTGGAAGCCGTTGGTGGAGAATTGGAGCTGGAGAAGCTGGTGTCAAGTCGTCACCATAAAAAATAATAGATTGTAGCAACGAAAAAGATTTTTTTATTATTACTTTATAGAAAAAGCGACTGCAAATCAACCCTATGTGTTAAAGCTGACACCGGGTCTTCAAACTATCGTACATGGAAAACGTGCGTTTTTCTAAGAACATCCTGGCGGGTGGGCCGCATTAATGAATGAAATGGCCCACAACCCAATGTCATATCGAGAAAAAGACTCTGTCCTAGCAAGATTTGTACGCAGCTCGGACCAAACCACGGACTTTGTAACCCTGTAGGAGGAGGAAGGAAGAGCAGTGTCCCACGCCCCGCGCACGTCCATCTCGGGTCGCTCCCTTGTTTGTGAGGAGGCTTTCTAAAACGTATCGCTGCAAGGCGGTCGCTTGCAACTTGAATGAAAAGAGTAGCTGCGGCTTGAAGAGGGAGAAGAAGGAGCAGATGTTTGCCAGTACCACGACCCCGCATGGGCTTGTTCGAAGAGTGGCAACAACCAGTACTGGGCCGAATGTGAAGAGCAGGAAGCTGCTATGCGGGAAGAAGAGCGAGAAGATGATTGTCAGTACCACGGCTCCGCCCCCGCTTGTACGAAGTGTGAAGAATGTAACAACGACAAGTACCGGACCGGGATTCAAAGTCAATGCATTGGGCTTGCTCCTGGGGACGTGTTTGCTCTTGCAAGCAAACCATGCTGGAGCTCTGGACATCGAGACTGCTCAAAAAACATGGAAATGTCTTCTGGGTGGATGCAGGTGCTGTTGTGCTCCCCTCCTCATTTGCTGGGTTCCACTGTTTATTTTGAATCCACCTGATCTCATAGTTGTGCATGTTCTTCAGATCCGAGCTGGTTCGATGCGTGGGAGATCCTTCATGCGCTGCCAATTTAGTTTGTCTGGAAACTTGCAGCCCAGGAGACTTGAATTGCCAGGTATTATTTGATTTAAAGTTGCTCACTCTGTTTCTGTTCTCTCATTTTGTATCGGAACATAGGTCAGATGCGGAGACATTTTCCAGAACAAGGCCGTAGAGGAATTCAACACATGCCTCCTGAGCAAAAAAAAGTGCATCCCTCAAAGTGCCAACGACGGCTCCTACCCGGTACCTCCAGACTGCGCTTTGGTGGAAAAGTTCAACACCCAAGACTTCACAGGCACATGGTATATCACCAGCGGTCTCAACCCCCTGTTCGATCTCTACGATTGCCAAGTCCATGAGTTCTCGGCCAGTCCCCACAAGCTCACCGGAAAACTGACGTGGAGGGTGACCACCCCCGACGGCGGTTTCATCACACGCAACGCGATGCAAAATTTCGTGCAGAAGAATCCCAAACGCCCGGGTGTGCTGTCCAATCATGACAACGAGTACCTCAATTACAAAGACGATTGGTGAGTGTTTCGCAAGCTTCCAAAGCTTCGGTGTGTGTAGGTCCGGTGTGCGATTGCCAACATAGCTGCGAATCCTATATGAAAAATTGACGGATTGATTGGTGCAGGTTCATCATCTCCGCCCGGCTCAACAACCAACCGGATGACTACGTGTTCGTGTACTACAATGGGTCCAACGATGCATGGGACGGCTATGGTGGGGCCGTCGTCTACACACGGAGTTCAAGCCTCCCCAAGTCCAATTTCCCAGAGCTGCGGCTTGCTGCTGCTAAAGTCGGCTTGGATTTTGACAACTTCAAGATGACTGACAACAGTTGCGGCCCGCAGCCATCTTTGTTTGCTAGAGTCCACAAGAGATTGTTTGAAGGAGAGAGAGCTCTTGCTACAAACCGTAATAGTTCTAGCTAGTCATTTATCCTCTGTGTTTTTATAAAGATATGAGAACAATCAATGTAGCATAACCTTACATCCCTATGTATGCACTTGCTACGCTAGATCAGACATAAGCTCCAGGGAGAATTTTCGTGGAACTGAAAAAAAGCAAGCAAATGTTGCGAACTAGATAATGACACCATCTTTCTACGTTTACTAAAGTATATTTTGCCACCATTGTCTACTATAGGAATCAAATCTCACATTTCTACTCATAATATTTGAACCCAATAGCCATATATATAAATGGGCATCCAGTAACTCATCCTAGATTAGTTTAAGGTTTGACTAAAGAAGTGTTCAATTATTTTCTATTGTCTTTATTAATAGTTTTTCATCATTTTCCCTTCTCTCTTAATATTATATAGAAAATAATTTTGGCATTGAATTGAATATCATGACCAAAATAGCATTATATAATGGATATTTTGAGAGGCTAACATTTAAATATTTGCAAAAAATTAATATTTGACATACATAAATATATATTTAATATGTATTAACTTCACCCTTTTAACTCCACTTTGGGGCTTAGGGATTTATGCCTCATAATTAGATGCAAAAGCTTAAATGAAGTGCTTCCTATGGCATAAGACATTGCAAAATGAAAGAACATGATACAAATATAATAATACTAATTGAAAAATATATATAAAACCTCTTATACTAAAACTATATCTATCCTCATTGTCATATTCTAAAACCACATATATTATGGTTTGTTTCTCCAAAACTAAACCATCTATCCAATAAGTGGTAATTTTATAACAACATTTTAGCATCTTTAGGATGCCTCAAAATATAAAGGAACACCATCCTTTAATATCCTTTTTTTAATTCCCATCAAATCCTTCCATACACATTAGTGCTCGCTAAAACTGCCACTAGGTTAGGGCCCAAAAACCTATCTATTAAGTTTCACTAACTTCTAAGATTTCCTTACCACGTAACCATGCTCTTGATTATTTAGCAAAAGGATTATTCCGGTATTATGAAAGGCAAGTTGAAGAGTGATTGTTGGTTGCTTTGCAACTAATGATTGCTTGTAGAATGATGCAACTCGAGGAGAACTTCAAGATCACTTTATAATAACATTTTGAAACACTATGGACCAATATGAACTTTATAGCTATTTTCCCCACCTTTTGCCACTAAGGTGGCTCAACCTTATGGCTAGAGTGAGATTTTATAAGTTATATAAGATATCCTTTGGATTGGGAGTATTAACCATTTGATGTCCTAGAAGAGCTAGAGTTTATTCTTAAACACTTCACTAAGTCACCTCATTTTTCCATCAATATATTTGGATTTCATAATGTTGGAATCACTATTTATGGAATTAGTGAGGAGGCTAGCCATCTAGCTTGTCGCCCTAGTTCATGTCTCCTATATCATTATCTAACATATGGGTATAACCTTCTTTGCTCACACTAACTTTTCTTAGCCACACTTGTTCCCCTAGAGTCTTCCCTTTGCCATAAGGACTTATTAAACTCTGGGAAATGATTGCTTTAGTCTTTTACTCTCAAACTTGGACTCAGTTTCGGTTTTGGATTTAGATTCAAATTCGGACCTAGTCTTGGATTTGATGTCAAACTTGGTCTCAACACTTCCATAAGTTAATAATTCTTTGTTTGAGCTTTTGGTTTAAATGTATTACACTTATTAAACTTCTGCTTCAACCACTACCACATGGCATATATTTAGCTCTATTTTGGGACTTAGGGATTTTAGTCTTATATATATCTCTCTCTACTCTTTTTAAGAAGACTGATCCTTTGAATTTTTTTATCTAGCACTTCACTAGCATTTTTAACAATATTGATCTGGAACATACTACTATTAATAATTTGCAACAATTATGTTAAAACTTTGAATTTACATCTATTTGCATTCCAAATGGTTGCCATCAATATTTTGTGGGATGATAGAACTCTTAAGGAAGCCTTTATGATGATATAAAAAATTTTATGCATATGGTGGAGGAGAGCTCCACTTCATCGGCAGTAATGAGACAACACAGGTTTAGGTTTTTTATAACAATTATTGATCTTGTATAAACAACCAAAGAGAAAGGCTTGAGAAATGGTTTATTGTGATTAAAATATTTGAATTTTTTTCCAAGGATGTTAAAATATATAGAGTTAAATATCTTTTAGATTAGATACCTAGGTGTATTTGAACTTCTTAGAAAGTCATTTAACCTAGTACTATTTAAACCAAGAATCTAAGTATCTCAAGACCCTCAACTAATTGGAAAAGAGGTGCACTCTAAGCCCTTTCCCTCTATATTTGAACCTTATATATCATCTCTTGAGTTGTTTTTTTTAGTTGCTTATATTATGCTGTTCATGGGAAATGTCTAAGCTAAATAATTTCCCAAAAAGTTTAAACTCAAAATTTTATATTTTATTGTTTACTGTTACAATTTTTTTCAGGAATATTAATTTACTATCATCAAATTAATAGTTCCAATGGTGATTAGAGCCACCCATCAATAGCATTATGATAATTATTTTTAAGAATATAAATTTGCTATTAAATCAATAGTTCTAATAAAGATTGGATCCACCCATTAATAATATCTGTTAAAGAAGAAGAAGAAATCTGATATACTATAGGTGTACGTCCATATTAATCTCATGATTTAATATGGGCATGAGTCCATGTCAATCTTGAATGCTCATCAACCCAATAATTTCAATCTCCATTAAAACTGTTAAGACTAAAGAGAAAGACTTGAAAAATGGTTTAGTAGGATTAAATTATATAAATTTCCTTTTCCAAAAATATATGAAATTCAGTGTCTTTCAGCTTTTCCCATATTACGACAATCCTAAGGGGTGTGTTTAGAGAGTGGGGCAAATTGTGGCTTGGACCACCAAATGTCAATTTTAATTTGTAATGTAGAGTTGATATCAAATATAAATTCTATATATCCAAAAACCTTTAATCAATTGAAAAGGAGAGTACACTTTTGTTCATGGGCCTTTTTTTTATATTTGAATTCTAATGGATCATTTATTAAGTAATTTTCTTTGGTTTCTTATAAATCATTTTAAAAAATGTCACTTTGTTATCAAACCAATAATTTTAATGGAGATTGGAACCACTCATTAATAATGTCTTTTTGAAAAAGAAGAAATCTAAGCATGGGTCCATATTAACCTTGTAATCTAATTTAATATGGGCTTGGGTCCATGTTAATCCTGAATACTTATCTATGTGGCTAGGTCCACCATGGATTTGGATTTTCAAATGAAAAATGAACAATTCTGGATATTTTATAATATACTACCACTCACATATGCTATAGTTACTGTGTAGAAAAGGAAAAGGAGAAAGAAGAAATATGTATAAATCTAATCTTCGGCCAAAGAAAATGAAAAAGGGTAAAATAAGCTGAGACTTTCTCCAAAGTGGGAGAATATTCGTTGGAACCATTTACGTTCTTACTTTCAAAACAACAACATATGTGCCGGCAAGGTGAGTGAGAAACACTGCCATAGCAAGTCCAAGCCCCAGAATCATAATTGAACTTCAGAGTTTTCAATCGTTGCATTAAATCCCAGTAGCACCAAGAAAGCGTGGATGATTCTTCCTCCACCGGACACATGGCAAGGCAGTACCTTCTTGGGGCATTTGGGAAATCAGTGACAGTCTTCGACAGTCATGCAAATCAATGGAGCACCATGGCACCGAGATCGAGCGCAATGCTGTGTCCTGGAGGGTCAGCTCTACGTCAGGGGTGGCAACCATAAGGGTGAGGAACCAAACGCTGAGGTATACAATCCAATGGAGGATCTGGGATCCTCTCCCATCGTCACCATCACTGGAGACCATAGCCGTTCCCATGGCCCTCGTTGTCGATCGCAACAAGATGGTTGTGAGCTCAAGTGATGGTGTAGGAGCAACTCCACACAAGATCATTCCTGGGAAGTGGCAAGACATCCTTGGATTGCAAGGGCACCCCTGCTTTGTGCACTCCAACCGGATCTACAAAGCCGACAGGGCTGAATCGTTGTTGCGAAGATACGAACGTGCCAAGAAGCCATGGGAGGCACTCCAGCTGACGAACGCTTCTTCCAGCGATGACAAGATTTTGTTCCGTGTTGTGAGTTGCTAGAAGAACATCTGGGCAATTTCGAAGAATTCCAAAGTTGTGACAGTGATCCAACCGTCGAGGGTTGCTTGGAAGCCAAGGTCGTGGTGGCTTACAAGCTCAGCGTGCCTTTCAGCAGCGATCCAATAGTCTTAGACGTAGAGGTTTTCAAGCTTGATGGAAAGATACAAGGCTGATTGTCTAAATTCATCTAACTAAAACTGTCACAAAGCTAAATTGGTATTACTTTTCTAAGGTGTTCGACAGCCACCCACCAAAAGGTGAATTAAGATGAAGGAGAATCTCTTTGGCTTCCAAATATGTTAGTGCTAACTTCTGCAAGAAAATAAAAAAGATAAGAAGCTGTGAGTCAGAAGACTAGGATGCTTTACTTTGCACTCCAAGTAGTTGCTGCAAGCCAAGCCAGGGAAGAAATGCGTCAACAGGTGTCTAAATGATCTCCCCAATGACTTCCTGAGGAAGAAAAACGAAAGCTTTTCAGTATGGAGTGATCTTCTTCTTTGTCTAACCTGTTGAGCTTTGATTCTGTAGCTGGCAACAACGCTCCTTTGCCCGCAGCACCTTGCTTCCTTCCCGTTGTTCCAATGACAACCTCGTGGGAGCCGGACGAGTCCCAGCTGATCGAATATCTAAACAGGGAACGATAGCATCACATATGCTGCCTCGGAGTGAAAGCCAAACCCGCAGGCCAATCCACTTGGATAGAGCATGTAATCCTCCGGAGGTGTTGGTGCCAGCCAAATCACTGGCTGCATACGAAGATTACAAAAGCACTTCACAAAGTCTTACCTGGTTGAGTCTGTAGGGAGCTTCTAGATTCCGTGCCACTGAGCACAGCCGGCCGAAAGTAGCTCTTTGCAGGGCCTCTATGCACGCCAGGTCGGAAACCAGTGGCGATGCTTTCGTGCTCCTAGCAACAGTAATCGTCGAGATGTATACTGGTTCGTTGAGGAACAAGGACAAGAGAGCTCCTACAAACAGTGTTTGATCCAGGAGCCATAGGGATGGAGGAAATCCAGACTCACCTTGAACTCCCAAAACGTTCCATCTTGCGATCTTGTCGCTACAACTCATAGAAAAAGTGGCATCTCCCCGGCCAGGCTTTCGCCTAAGCATGCCCGTTGTCTGCAGGCTTTGTTCCGAGTGAACTTGTGTAGACACCAGCTTTGCCCCCGTCGTGCAGCAAAATTCAGTGTGATCGTCTTCTCCGGCGCCAGGATCAACTCCTAAGATGCATGCGTCTCCACCTATCAAGTAGAAAGAACCGGGTGATCAAAGATCTATAGTATGGAAGAACCGGATGATCAAAGATCTATAGTATAGAAGAACCAGATGATCAAAGAAATAGAGTGGAAGAACCGGATGATCAAAGAGATAGAGTGGAAGAACCAGATGATCAAAGAGATAGTAAGGCTTACAAGGTGACTGGCTGATGTAGAGATGGAGTCGAATCTCTGGACGCATACGCAGTCTGCCATTATCATCCCTCTTGAAAAACTTAGAACGAGAATCTTGCCCCTCATCTACAAAAGACCCGATGTCCGTGTATAAAAGCCTGCATTGCGCGTGATAATATATATGAAGAACGGGATAACTTACTTGAGCAGTGTTCTCCTAGCGATCACTTCGGCATGGCAATCGTTGATTGTGTCGCCAGCAAGGCTGCGTTGAGAGCCTCCCAGGCATTTGGTCCCAGTTCCCAATGCAATCACTCGCAAAGAAGCTGAATCGAATCGTTGGAACAATCGTGTAAACCATTTAATCTATACCTATTGACGAATTGCAATCGGAGACTAAGAATGCTCCGAGAACTGTGTATTCACCGCCCTGTGGCTTCCCTTTCTTTGGCAAGCACTTGTAGCGCTCCAGCACTGCCTTAGACACACACTCCCCCCAGTCCATGTCCTTATAAACCCTAATATTTTGTTTAGGACTAGGGCTATGGAGCAAGGTATGGCGCGCGTAAAAATTTTCGATGATCTTACTGACAGTGATGGAATCCATGTAGTGTACGCATGGGGGAGGGGCGATTTTGGTCAGCTTGGTGTAGGCGAGCTCCCTCGCCAGTGCAGCACTTTCGTTTGGATCAGCAGCCTCGCTCACAAGGACGTGGTACACATTGCCGCCAGTGATTATCATACGGCATTTCTAACAGGTGAGAGTGAGTGATTCGAGCGATCCTTCCTTTCTTTCTCGCGATTGTTTCCACTGAAAACTTTGTTTCTAGACGAAGGGGAACTCTACACAACTGGCTCGAACGATTCCGGACAGCTTGGAACGAAATCTTTCGGGTGTGAATTCTCTCCCGTGAGAGTTTCATCGCTAGATACTTCACTTGTTTCTCACGTTGCGACGGGTCAGGGTCACACCGTCGCTGTGACTGGTATCTTTTTTTTCCCCTCGTGTTCCTTCTAGCTTAAACCTTTGAGTTTCAGACACTGGCTCGCTAGTTTCCTGGGGATGTGGAGAGTTTGGCCAGCTCGGTCTCAAGGATGCGGCTGGAGTTTTTAACAGCCCGCTGCCTCGCTTCCTTCGCGGTTCTCGCGAACTCCTGTTCGTCCGTGTTGCTTGTGGTTCTAGCCATACACTCGCTCTCACAGGTAAATCGCTCAAGGTTGATAAGATTTATACCTCTGTGCATGGTTCCAGGCAGCGGAGACGTTTACTCATTCGGACAAGGCACTTTTGGTGCTCTCGGTCACGGAACTACGGAAAGCTGCAGCTCGCCGGTGATTGTTGACAGCCTTTGGGGCTTGGGAATCGTCCAGGTATTTGTCTGTGTTATCTATACAGAAAACTAGAATCCCGTGGATCTGTGCATTGGAGATTGCCTGCGGTGACAATCACAGCTGCGCTTTGACAGTTGAGGGTCAGGTATGTTCTACTCTCGAACTTCATCGAAGGCAAAAAGTTTGTAATTGATAAGTTTGCAGCTCTTTAGTTGGGGACGAGGAAAGTATGGGCAGCTTGGCTGTGGAAGCGTTGAAAACCATTTGCAGCCGGTGCCTGTCACGGCTCTCAGTGATCGTCTGCTTACTCAGGTTGTCTGTGGTGCGGACTATACCATGGCCATTGATTCAGATGGGCAGCTTTTTTCGGTGAGTTTTAGTTTTTTGCATACATGAACTAGGATGAGCTTACGAGTTTGCTTGCTGCAGTGGGGGCATGGTCACTGGGGTCAGACAGGCCATGGCACTCAAGATAACATCCTTGTTCCAAAGCTGGTTTGCTCGCTTGAAAATGACAATATTGTCCAGGCAAGTGCGGGAGCTCGTCATGCTGTAGCCTTAACATCAGGAGGTGGCGTTTATGCGTGGGGTGACAATGAGCAAGGACAAGTTTTACCTGGAGGGAGGTAACTAAAAGAACTCAGCAATGCCTGTGGTCATTTGAACCATATTTCCTTTTCAGTTCGATCGTGCAGCTCACACCATTGTTGCTAAACTTGTCGCAAATAAGTTCCAAGCAAGTGGTTTATGTGGTGGCAGGGGGAGAACATACGCTTGTAGCGTTTGACTGCGATGATAAGCAATCGTCGACACTGATTGAGTAAGCTTCAAGTGCTTTCAACTGCAAACGTTACCTTTTGTTTCACAGCCTACAAGGAGATGAAAAGAAGATGCATAAACTTGATAAACACGGAGCAGGATTGCGGGCGTTAAAACTTCCTTGCCTCCATATTTTGTTTCAAGTGAGCTTTTCTTCTACTTGGGCCTTAAATTTGTTTGCGTTTAAAACAGGAAACAAGGAACAAAGCCGCATTACTGCATAGTTTGGAAAGTGTATTTTCCTCGCCTAAGTTCTTAATCATGTCTTTCAAGTCCCACTCGGCATGCTGGTGTGGAACGAGAGAAGATGATTCATTTTCTCCTGATGGTAATGTCTTTTGCTTTGTAGTTCATTCTTACTCATTAAATTCTTGTTCTTTATTTAAAAGCACCGGAAACTGAACTTAACATTAGCTACATACAAAATGTTTATCACAAAATATTGGAACTCTACGACCCGGATGTAAATGCATCTTGCTGTCAAGTATGTGCTAATGTTTCCTTTTCCGGATTGCAGGTTGTTCAAAGACTCGGGGCCTCTATTATTCGATTACTTGATTCCATCGAAAAGCACATCGATAATGCGCCGGAATCCAGGTGGCTGCGGGTACGCTACTTTCATCTCAATTTACTAGAACTAACTCTGCCAACTAACAGGCTTTGCTGATCATTCTACAATGTCCCCTCGTAGGAGAGAAAGGGTCCTGTAACTTAAGTTCATAATTTTCCCGCTAAATGTGCCCCGCATTACAGACTTGGCGATATTATATCTGTAAAGCTTTTTACTTTGTTTACTCAGGTATCCTCGTCCGGAGAACGGGTATGTCTTTCTTCTTCTATGTCGGAAGTTTTTTTTAATGTCCTTTGCTTCAGATAATGGAGGAATACTTAAAAGGATATCCGAAAGAAGTTTTTGGTGGTCGATTTGTCCGAGGAGTTCAAAACTTCATTGTAAATAGGTGCTTTCGAATAGATTTTGCTTCTTCTTTTGAATGCTTTTTGTTTTGTTAAAACCAGAAACGATTTGTTAAACGGAAGAGGTCCCGTTCCTGTTGATATCTCTGCAGCTTTGAAGGTTTCCAGTAATTATTATTATTTGTTTAGTGTTCCTGATATGGAATTTCCAGGTTTTGTCGATACTTCATACTGTGAACGAAAAGGAGAAACTTGTACATTTAAGTGAATTTTATAACTCTGCTGTTAGCCAGGACGCTGACCTTCAGGTAACTCTTTGGGCATTGAATGCCGCACAAGAAAAATCCTTTGGGTGGCAGTATTGTGCTCTATATGCGAGCTTTAACCATTCTACTAAATGTAGGCAGAATATTTGAAATGGTTACATGTTCAATATAAAATGCAACCATTGATCTGCTACTGTCAGGTAGTGTACGTAAATCTCAATTGATAGTACATCTTCCTTTCTTATTTACAGGTGCCTTTTATTCTTTCTGCGGAAGCCAAGAGCCGAATATTACAAGTAAGCGCAAAACTACTTTTCTGGATTGTGTTCACGTTCTTTCGCAGGTTGAAGCGAATATTCAAAAGCAACATATTGTGCAGGCATCCATGATTGAGCATATGCTTGGGAATGCATCGGCTAGTCCCTTCTTGGTTCTTCAGGTAAGATGGACGTTGTCAGTACTTTTTTTTTACTGAAAAATTTACAGGTGAGAAGAACCTCTCTTGTACAAGACAGTTTGCATCAGCTGTCTTTACATCATTACGAGCTGAAAAAGCCACTCATGGTCAGAAGACATTTCTCGTAACCATCGTTTCTTACTGACAAAGAGTACAGGTTATATTTGAGGGAGAATCAGGGGTGGACCAAGGAGGTGTCACAAAGGAGTTTTTCCAGCTTCTGGTTCGCGATCTCTTCAATGTTGGCTATGGTGAGGTTGTTATCCTTTGAATGAAAGCCGTAACTTTTATGGACAGGGATGTTTACATACAGCGAGGAGTCACGATACTTTTGGTTCAACTCCAATTCTATAGAGACAGATCTTGAATTTCAGCTGGTACAAAAGCTTGCATTTTGCCGTAGCTTTATAGATCGTTCTGTAGGTTGGAATTATTTTGGGACTGGCGATTTACAACGGTGTCATTCTGGACGTTCACTTTCCACTTGTAAGTGTGTGATGTTTAAGACTCGAAACTTTAAGTTCTCCAAATTTTACAGGTAGTGTACAAAAAGCTTCTGGGGATCGATCCTCGGCTCCAGGACCTACGGGATTTGCAGCCTCAAGTTTACAGGAGTCTTAACAGCCTTTTGGCCATGGAAGAGATCGAGTCAATGGACTTGTATTTCGAGGTAGCTGTTTATGTATTTTGAAACAGGCTTTTAACCCGGCCTTTGTGACTGTGGTGGAAGGTTTCATATGACTGTTTTGGAGAGACCAAAACACATGAACTCATACCAAACGGCTCGTCCGTGCAAGTTACAGGCGAGAACAAACAAAGGTAAGCTTTCAAATTTGCGTCACCAAATTCATACGCTTGCTCATTACAGATATGTTGATCTATACGTCAATTACCTGCTTGAAACATCAATCGCGACCCAGTTTTCTGCCTTTAAGCGGGGCTTCCTTCAGGTTGCCATTGAATGTTTCTTTGTGTCTGAGCTGGATCGTTTCTCTCTTTCTCGTCCAGGTTTGCGGTGGACCGGCCTTACGCCTTTTCCAGTATGAAGAACTAGAGCTGCTCATCTGTGGTTTACGTCACTACGACTTCGATGTCCGTGAGACCGATTACTCACTCACGCTAAAACTAAAGAGCCTTGAACCATGGTTTTCTCCAGGCACTGGAACGAGGAACGACGTACAAAGGAGGCTACACGAAGGACAGCAATGTCATTCAGTGGTTTTGGAACCTGGTAAGCCTTTCGTTCTTTCCTCTAGATCTCTAAGTTATAAACCCAGGTGAAAGAGATGAGCGTCGAGGAGAAGAAGCAGCTCCTCTTCTTTACCACCGGAAACGATCGCGCACCCGTGGGAGGCCTGGGAAGCTTAAAACTGATAATCCAACGCAATGGAGATGATACTGAGAGGTAAGTTTCCATCTTTCTTACTTACGCTTTCTTAACTTACTGTACTTTTTACCAGGCTCCCGACGGCTCATACGTGTTTTAACATTTTACTTCTCCCGGAGTATAGCTCCCAAGAAAAGCTGGCTGACCGGCTTAAGCTGGCAATTTCGAACTCCACAGGCTTTGGCTTGCAATGATACTTAAATAACGAGCCTTTGGAATAGAAATTATTTTAATTTTAGGGTTGTAACTGGAGAGTACGAGGCTATGGAGCAGCAAAGGATCGATGCGCCGCCGCCGCCGCCGCTGCCGCCTCCACAGCAGCCGCCGCCTCCGCCATGGCAGCCGCAATTGGATCGTCCTCTCCAGCAGCAACAACATGGTCAGTTTTATGCACAGCAAGATCAGGTAACCCCTATTGTTTGCTGCTTGCTTGATGATTCCATTCCATTTTCCATCCCACGCCCTGGCACCATTTTATACGAGAGATTGTTTCTCGCTTCTTCTGTGTGGCATGAGAGATTAGAAATCCTCTTCTCTGGTCTTACGAGTGTCGCCTTTTTCGTAGGCTTCCTCTGGATTGACTCAAGGTAGTGTGCGGTGACGTTTGGTTGTGGGAGGGATTTGGCTCACATTGTCTTCCAGCTGTGGATTGGGCCGCCAAAGCCAAGGCTTGGATGAGCGCAAAATCTGCTCAGGGACATATGAAAGCTGTAGCTCTGGATCCTCCTCCGGAAAGCTTGCAGCAGCCAAACGGAGGTAACTTTGGCTGCCATGATCGATCACTCACACTCAACGTTTTCCTCTCGGTGTTTTTCGGTAGCAGCATTTTCTCCGCACCCTCACTTCTTGCCTCGGCCTCCAGAACTGCAACCACGTCCAGCGCAAGTGTTACACCGTCTTTCTAGCGTCGATCCCTCGCAACATGGCTTCTCTGGAAGTCCATCAGGTGTTGTGTGGAGCGTTACTCCGACCATGCCGCTTCCACCTTCTCAAGTATGTCTTTTTTCGCTGTTCCCGCTCTTTTTTCTTTCTTCTCAGGCTTGTTTCTCATTGACCAGACTTTTCATCCCATTCAGCAACAGCCAACGTTTCCGAGGCTCCACGGCGTGGCATATCGACCAGCATTTGCTTTTGGAGCTAGTCCAGCTGTTCCAGTCGTTGATCCTGCGCAGCAAAAGAAGGTGCGTGAACAAGGGAAAAGGAGTACCGCTCTTGTTCATCTCTTAATATACAGGCACCCGTTCCTTCTTGGCTGAGGGAGGAACTGAAGAAAAAAGTGAGGACGCCATCACTTGGCCCTGTCACAGACGTGACGAGAAAAAATACTTCTGAGGTTTTGAGGCCTGGCATAGACAGCACGCCAGTTTCGCCAGGTGGAAGTGAAACAGAAGGAGATGATGAGGTACTGCAAAAAAGGCATCTCGCTGTTTTACGTGGACTTGCTCGTGACTTGCAGGACGATGCTGAAAGTGCTGCCACTTCTGTGATCAATCAAGAGATAAAGAGAGTTCTAACTGACGTTCTTTTGAAGGTATAATTAGTTTATCATTTCCTTACTTTGCATCAGCCATTTCAAACAGGTGACGGACGGGCTTTTCAATGAAATTGCACAAGAAATATTTGACGAGGAAGAGGCGAAGTCCCAGGGTACGGGTTCTATGGTACTTTAGTTTTGTGCTGATTTAAAAATGGATTTTGTGAAGCCTCGGAAAAGAGGGAGACGGACAACATCCTGGCACCCAGTGCAGCTCCTGCCAGAGTTGTAGTTGCTGCTGGCGATGGTGAGGAAGCAGAGATAGATACGAACTGCGCGGGGAATTTCCTTGGCCTTGCAAGCTACGATTCAGATGACGACCAGACAGAAAAGAACGACAAGAAGTCCACCAGCAGAGACACAGAACATTCTAAGGTGCCAAATAGTGAGAACCCTGTGGTTGCGGACCATCTCAAAACACAGGAAAAGTCTACTGGTCGTGAGCAGCTGCTGGCAAGGGATTCAGAACGCAATAAAGAGAATGAAGGTGACGCAAAGCCGAAGGAGAAGAAATCAAGAAAGGACAGGCGAACTGAACATAATCTGAAGGGAAAGAGATACGAGCGCCATACTCCACGAAGTCGAAGCAGAAGCAGGAGTTTCTCTCCCAGGCGCTCCAGAAGTAGGAGCCCAAGCCGGAGAAGGTGTGTGTGTGATATTTAAAGTTCCGTGTTTGGAGCTGACAAATGTTCATGTCAGGAGTGACAAGCGACGGAGAAGCAGGTCTCGGTCGCCCAGATACTCTCAAAGGTTTGGTTTTAGACATTGTGCAAACACTGACGTCTTGCTTGCGTGTTTTAGAGGTTCATCGCGTTCTTTCTCACGGTCCACTTCTTCTCCTCGTGAAGCTCGGAGGTACGTTTTTGCCTTTTCCTTCTTAGTTTTATGTTGGAACCTTACTTAGACACAAGCACTCGAGGTCAAGGTCACCTGGACACTGGCACAGTAGGAGATAGATGAATCAATGGTAAGCCATCCCGGCTGTACGGTTTTGAAGGTCACTTTGTCTGCAGTATGTGATTGCCGGCTAACTGGATTGCAAAATGTGGTGAGGTAATTAAGTGTCTTTTTTTTAGCTGTTACTGACCTTGTTCTTTCTCAGGAATATCCATATCTCAAGTCTGAGGTTCTTGTTTGAGGATTCGGGGAAAGTGTTTTTAACAGGCATGTCATCGAGGTCCTTGTTCTGGTGGTGCAATCCTGTATGCAGCAGGCAACTCTCCGGCCGTTTTCCTGTTGCTTGCTGTCGATTGGCCTTAAGGCAAGTACATACCCAGAGGATGATTGCAAGGGGATGGAGATGGGAGGAAAGTGAAGCTTTTGAGGAGAGTTTCAGCGATGCCGTGGACATGTTCAACAAGAGGGATTATTACAAGTGCCACGACATATTTGAGGCGCTCTGGAATGACGCAGAGGAACCTCAGCGAACTCTTCTTCATGCTTTGCTGCAATCTTCGGTTGGACTCTACCATCTTCTCAACCAGGTAAAGCTTTTTATCACAAGCTCAAAGAAAAGAACTGACACAGCTGTGCTCGGTGTAGAACTATAGAGGTGCTATGGTAGAATTAGGAGAGGGAGTATCAAAGTTTGGCAAGCTAAAGCTGAAGAAGGGACCATTCTACGAATTTGACAAGGAAATGAGAGCTGTCTTGGACTTTTTGTACAATACTCAACTGGAGAACGCAGCTTGCAATGATGATTTTTGTATTACGATGGATGGTTCCCAAGAAAATTATCAGCTCTTGGGCAACTTCGGTGCGGGCGAAGAGTTGTACAAATTGGAAAAAGATGTAGCAGGTTATGGACACAGCCTTATATTTTCACCAACGAGATTTGAACAAAAGAACAGTAGTCCAAGTGTGAAACTTCCAATATTACTTGCATGTGAAGGGGATTTGAATGAGCTGTAATAGCTTGAAGTTTGGAACATAAAATAGCATTAATACGAAAATTCACATTTTAAATTTTTTACTGTTTTTGTTCGTTACAATTTAAATAAGATAACCACCAATAATTATAATTTGAGATGGAAAGACAAACTCAACAACAGACTCTCCGTCTGGTATGAGTTACCAGTAGCTGTTGCGTATGCTCACTGTCTGAAGTAACTTCGACAGCACTGAGGTCGTTTCTCATCTGCGATCTTCAGCATCTTCGACAGCTTGTCCAATTTCAGGTTATCAGGTAGAGAAACGACAGCCTCTCAAAGTTTTTGTTTTTCTTGGATATGCAGAAAACACCGCTTTCCACAGGAGGCTATTTTGCTTTGGGATCCTTCTACTTCTCATGATATATTGGTTTTGCCCCACATAGCATACATTTTAATGATCAAGTTTTAAAACGCAATTGGTATCTCCAGAAACACTTCCTAGTATCGGTCTATATTCTCTTTCTGGAGAAATTTGGGGCATTCCAATTCTCATTGTCTCTGGCGGTCTGGTTTGGATTCATGTCTAGCAATCGCCTCGCCAGCTTCATCGCGGTGCTTAATGGTTCTGTGAGAGTGGTGAGATGGTGGCCAATTCGAAGCAGGTCCTCGTGCGAGAGGAACCCCCTCGACGAGAACAAGATCAACTACGACGGAGAGGAACCCGTTTGTGGTGTGGGGAGCAACGTTTACGCCCATCTACGCGGGCGGTGTCGTGCCCCTGCTGCGGTCTGTGCGGTTCGTGCCGGAGGTGGCCGGGCAGATTTGCAGCGTTTGTGACTTGGCGGTGCTGGATGCTGATGCGTCCGGGCTTGTGTGCTGGTCATTAAGCGGAGGATTGTGCGCCATTGCCAAAGTTCGTGAATTCATCACCAAACAAGATAACGAGAATGGGCATATGCAGACGCCAGAAACATCTTATTTTTTTGGTTTCACGACGCATTTCATACATTTGCGTTGAAATTACGCCGTTAACTGCCCAACTTTTCCCGCGGCATCTTCGGAGACAGTTCCTGGTATCGGTCCAGATTTCCGATCTGGGCAAATTTAGTCTCCGGGACACTCACGATCGCAGAGATCATCGATGAACCCCTGCAAAGTGAGCGGTGGAAGAGACGAGATCCTGGCGGGAGCCATTGGCATGTGCCTTAATTGACATCATTGACATAGATTTGCCTTGCAACGATCAAATTCAAAATTCCTTGACTATAAGCCGGCCCAGATTAATTCCTCCCTTGTGACGCAGCACTCTAATTTTTGTTGTCTCCATCTCACACATAGTTCACTCAAGACTAAAGACACATGCTGGAGCTATGGTAGTTTTCACTCCTTAGAATATACAATATTCTTCGTTCATATAAGCCCACAGCCCCTCTCTCATTCGTTTCCCTAGAGCTCCCGCTGGTCTTTCTCCCTGGTTTGCACTTGTTTCAGTAGTGCTCTCATTGGTTTCCTTTTCTCCCTGGTTTTGCTTTCTCAGTGCTCTCTCTGGCTGTCCTTTTCTCCCTGGTTTATCAGGTGAACAGTTACCATAGACCACGAGGTCGAGGACGTGGTTCCCATCGGAGTATCAGACTACTGCGCCTCCTGGTTATCACAATCCCCCTCAGTGGCCACCACCACCGGCTCCAGGATTGTCACCAAGTATGCAGGCTTGGCAACCAATGGTGTATCCAGCACCATATCAGTCCCCAATTTTCTGTTTCTATGCGGGAAACCTGGACACACAGAGGATCGTTGTTTTGTGAAACCCAAGTTCAACAACAGCACAGGCTTCCATCAGCAGCATAGTTGGCCTTACCTCCTCTGCCAACTACACAGGTCTACCTCCACAAACACTTCCAGATCATGCCACCACATCACAGAAAGGGGGAATGACCTCAAGTGCTAGTTCATCATCTATTGTTTCAGCTGTGAATCACGTTCACATGGAGAAGTCAATTTGTCTGGTTGATTTGTCAATTGGAAAGCCAGCATCCATTGTGACAACAAGGAGTATCAAATGCTTAAGAAGAATGGCTGGTCAGAAGGAATGGGCCTTGGAAAGCATCAACAGGGACAATGTGATCTAGTGGATCAACCAGATGTCTTGGATGTGTTGATGTCACCTCGCTTGGGAGGTCATCCAGTCTTTCAATCCAAACACAAGGACCAATCTTCAGGATTTGTTAAGTTTGTTGACGGACAAAAAAATTTCATTGGTTGAATTGTTTTGGGAACCAGAGGCTGCTGATGAGCCAACTTCTTCGTCCACAGTCAAAGTGCTTATAACAACTAGGATAGAACACATTAAAGCTGGAGAACCTTTTCATTCCAAGAAAGTTGCAGCCGAAATTCTTGGACCAATGAAGACCAGAACTAATGCAGATCCTGTGCTGTCCACTGTCGTTCCTCAACAAGTTGCCAGGTTCCACCATATTCATTGGTGGCAGATTTCAAAAGTTTGCACCTATCCATCTCTTTGGCTCAACTCCTTCAGCTCACTCCGAAGTTGTTAAATGAACTTATGTCTTCTAGAGATGAGGCACAGGTTTTGACAAAGAATTTACGTCATGCAAGAGTTCATGTGGTCAATCATCCACGACAGATTGATCCAGGTGCATTCTTTTGTTCTCCTGTCTCGTGCCTTGACAAACGTCATGCCTACACACGTCTGTTGCCAGCTCAAGTTGGATTCTGCTGCTCAAACTGCTGTCATTCTCAAGACATTCACTCAACACCAAGTGAAGCCAGTAGGACTCATCAAAGATGCGATGGTTGATGTAAATGGAATTTGGATGCCCCTGGACATCCTTGTGGTTGACTTCCCCAATGGAGCTTAGGCAGATTCGGCACAATCATATTCGTGGTGTGAATGGCTGGACAGAGTCTCGGCACACACATATTGGGACCATGGACAAATGGACATTTCTGCTGGGGGCATCACCACAACACTGTATAATAGAAATGGTTGATCCAGGATGGTAGACACTTCAACAACCTCTAGCTTCCAGGAGCATACAAACTTGGTCCATATTCTCCTTATCAATGAGACAAGGGAGAGTGAGGATGCAGTGCTGCAGAGCTGGATGATGGAGTCAGATATGGATGTCAGAGGGCCATCACAGACTCATTATCCTCTCTCCATAGTGCAGATATTTTATGTCTTTCTACTACCGCTTGAAAAGGTACGACTATGGATAACGGTATTAATTGTTTGTTGGAGAAAGGCTCAGGTTCATCATTCTTGTCATGCTATTTGTTTTGTGATGGAGCATATTCAAAAGTATTGAACAGAGGAAGTATCGGAGCGGTGTTGGTCTACATTATTCTCATGATTTTCCACTGTTGTTATGGCATCATCCTCAAATGAAGTCAAATATCACACTGTGATTCAAGCAGTTCAGAAGGCCTTGCAACATAGTATATGCTGGTAGAGTCTCCGATCAGACTCTCAGCTTCTCATATGACAGGTTACAGGAGAATATAGAGTTCATAGCTCTCACCTTGTTCTCCCTACTGCAGCAATTAGAATGATGGGATATCATTGCAATCCCTCATGAATCCAATGCAATTGCAGGCGCTTTGGCCAAGCAAGGTTTATGAATGCTGGTTGCTGACAATGCTCTGGAGGAGGCATCTTTATCTACTTCAGACAGTACTTCTCTAGTTGATATTTTGCATGTCCGGGCCCATGCAATTGCTGTCCACCCATACTTGACTCAGCTCGATTTCTCCAATGACACCACAGAGTCGAAGCAGCTATTTATCAGATCACATTTGTCTTTGGAGGAACATGAATCTGTGGAAGCTTTATTCAAGGAGTTTTTGAACGTGTTTGCGTGGAGTTACAAGAACTTGAGAGGAGTAGATCCTCCTGTCCTCATGCACCGTATTCTACTCAAGCCTGATGCAATACCAGTTCAACAACCAGCTCGCCGGATCAACCCTGTTCTTGAGCCTCTTATCAAACAAGAGATTTAACAACTACTTCAATCCAACTTTATCTATCTAGTGGAGGTTGCTGATTGGATTTCGTCCATTGTGCTGGATGTAAAGCTAATAGAAACTTACAAGTGTGTGTGGATTTTAGAGCTCTTAACAAGGTGACTATACATGATTACTTCCCAACTCCATTCGTTGATGCTATTCTTGATGTAGTGGCCAGAAAGGAAGTATACAGTTTTATGGATGGGTTCTCAGGTTATAACTAGATTCAAATAGATTTGTTATATGACACACTTTGCCACGTGGACATTAGGGTTTTCCTGTTCTGTCCACTAGTGCAGTGTGCTTTGATCCTGATTTGTCTCATGGTAACAGAGCTGGGATAGCGCCATAGAAGGAAAACCATCCATCCGCGAGTTTGATGGAGAAGGGTTGCAAAGATTAGAATAAACCAAGTCCAAAAGTCCAATTGCTCAATGCTTGCTCGGCCAGAAATTCCAGCAGTGATGCTTGTCTAAAACACAAGTTTCACAAAATAACAATATCTTGGGATTTCATCTATTGAAGAGATTGGTAATAGACATGACCAAGTCTCTTATGCCAAAGCTCCGTACAAGAATCTGCCTCTACAATTTGAAAGGCCTGAACCTGGTCAGCAGTAGTAATCTCATAGAATTCCCCAATGCATGACCCACAAAGCAACTATGTACCAAGTATGTGAAAGCTAGAGTCAACCAAAGAAACTCCTTTTGCATCAAAAACTACCACTGCATTTTGATCACATATCTTAGCGACAAACATTAAGTTTTGTCGCAAGGTGGAAATGTGCATAGCACTATCAAAGGCCATAGTCCTCCCATGATCAAGTGAGAGCTGAAATTGCCCAATGCCTTCCACAGGGATAGTGGTATTGTCACTTAAATGAACACCACATTTTCCAATGCTCGGATGATAACACTCAAAAAGACTCTTCTTATTGCCCATAAGATTAGTACAACTAGAGTTTAGGAGCCACCTGCTTGGTGCTACAATTGCCTCTGCATTGTAGAGCTTCTCAACAGCCTCATTTGTTGTAGCAATTCCATCACCCTTAAGTAGATTGGCTTTCGCCGC